TCCCCAGTTTGGCTATGTGAGGAGAGAAGGATGTACTGTAACGAGTTATTCTAGTGTGGCCGACATCCACAGAGAAACGGTGGGCACAACAGGCAAGACGAGTGTTACGAGCCTGCGGCCTTGCCTGTGGTACACAGAATGCCCAATCCACTGAACATTGCCCGTTAAGGTACCTGTAAAAGAGAGAGACTGAAGCAACATTGCAGCGACGAAAAAGGGAAGAAAGATTATCAACTAAAGGAGGACAGTTAATAAGACGAAATGCCTTTGATTCCACCCTATCTAACAGTTGGACAGAAGAGCCACCCCAGATATGAGAGCAGTACTCCAAAATTAGGACGAATGAATCCCTTATATACTTGAAGCAACTGCTCAGGATAGGAGTAGTTGCAACATCTGTACAGTATTCCCAGTTTTCGGGAGGCAGCTTTAGCAATGAGGATGTGTGGCTTCGATGACATATTAAAGGAAATGTCTTGTAAGTTATTAGTTTTATGTTTTATGTCTTGTGAGATAGTAATTAGTTGTATGTTTTATGTTTTGAGAGATTTATTAGTTGTATGTTTTATGTCTTGTGAGAGTTATTATTCGAAGTTTTATGTGTTGTGAGAATTATTAGTTGTATGTTTTATGTGTTGTGAGAGATATTCGTTGTATGTTTTGTGTGTTGTGAGAGATATTCGTTGTATGTCTTATGTGTTCTGAGAGATATTCGTTGTATGTTTTATGTGTTGTGAGAGATATTAGTTGTATGTTTTATGTGTTGTGAAATATATTAGTTGTATGTTTTATGTATTGTGAAAGATATTAGTTGTATGTTTTGTGTGTTGTGAGAGATATTAGTTGTATGTTTTATGTGTTGTGAGAGATATTAGTTGTATGTTTTATGTGTTGTGAGAGATATTAGTTGTATGTTTTATGTGTTCTGAGAGTTATTAGTTGTATGTTTTATGTGTTGTGAGAGATATTAGTTGTATGTTTTATGTGTTGTGAGATATATTAGTTGTATGTTTTATGTGTTGTGAGAGATATTAGTTGTATGTTTTATGTGCTGTGAGAGATATTAGTTGTATGTTTTGTGTGTTGTGAGAGATATTAGTTGTATGTTTTATGTGTTGTGAGAGATATTCGTTGTATGTTTTATGTGTTGTGAGAGATATTAGTTGTATGTCTTATGTGTTGTGAGAGTTATTAGTTGTATGTTTTATGTGTTGTGAGAGATATTCGTTGTATGTTTTATGTGTTGTGAGAGATATTCGTTGTATGTTTTATGTGTTGTGAGAGATATTCGTTGTATGTCTTATGTGTTGTGAGAGTTATTAGTTGTATGTTTTATGTGTTGTGAGAGATATTAGTTGTATGTTTTATGTGTTGTGAGAGATATTCGTTGTATGTTTTATGTGTTGTGAGAGATATTCGTTGTATGTTTTGTGTGTTGTGAGAGATATTCGTTGTATGTTTTATGTGTTGTGAGAGATATTAGTTGTATGTCTTATGTGTTGTGAGAGATATTAGTTGTATGTCTTATGTGTTGTGAGAGATATTCGTTGTATGTTTTATGTGTTGTGAGAGATATTCGTTGTATGTTTTGTGTGTTGTGAGAGATATTCGTTGTATGTTTTATGTGTTGTGAGAGATATTAGTTGTATGTTTTATGTGTTGTGAGAGATATTAGTTGTATGTCTTATGTGTTCTGAGAGTTATTAGTTGTATGTTTTATGTGTTGTGAGAGATATTAGTTGTATGTTTTGTGTGTTGTGAGAGATATTCGTTGTATGTTTTATGTGTTGTGAGAGATATTAGTTGTATGTCTTATGTGTTCTGAGAGTTATTAGTTGTATGTTTTATGTGTTGTGAGAGATATTAGTTGTATGTTTTGTGTGTTGTGAGAGATATTAGTTGTATGTCTTATGTGTTCTGAGAGTTATTAGTTGTATGTTTTATGTGTTGTGAGAGATATTAGTTGTATGTTTTATGTGTTGTGAGAGATATTCGTTGTATGTTTTGTGTGTTGTGAGAGATATTCGTTGTATGTCTTATGTGTTGTGAGAGTTATTAGTTGTATGTTTTATGTGTTGTGAGAGATATTAGTTGTATGTTTTATGTGTTGTGAGAGATATTAGTTGCTTGTTTTATGTGTTATGAGAGACGAGATGTGGAGTATAGTATATATACAGTATGTGTATGTGTGATAATAATGATACTACTACTACTACTACTACTACCACTTTACTGATAATGATAATGATATTATAGATGATAATGGTGATCCAAAAGCTGTGTGTGTGTGTGTGTGTGTGTTAAGATACAGCTTTGAAACATGTATACATAAGAAGCAGAATTTCCAACTCACTAATAAACAAGAAGTACACTATACTGTAAACATGACTATTCAACATAGCTCTTAGAATATTACCAGCCACGGCCTCGCTATGTTGTGGGTAAAAGTGGTTTGTGTTTTGTCTAGGCTGGTAACGTATACATAAGTACTTTATTGGTAGAAGGGTTTACAAATACAACTTCACTTAATTGGACTTATGCTTCAATGGAGACTTTTAATACAAATCTTATGCGAACGAGAAATGACTTTGACTGTTCATTCCACATAATGTATTTTCTTTTGGAAACAACAAGAGCAACTACAGCAGCAGCAATAATCATAATGATGAGAATAATAATAATAATAATAATAATAATAATAATAATAATAATAATAATAATAATAATGATAATAATATTAATAATTATAATAATGATAATAATATTAATAATAATAATAATGATAACAATAATAATAATAATAATAATAATAATAATAATAATAATAATAATAATAATAATAATAATAATAATAATAATAATAATAATAATAATAATAATAATAATAATAAAAATAATAATAATAATAATAATAATAATAATAATAATAATAATAATAATAATAATAACTTTCATTTAAGTTGATAAATGCAAACAACAAACAAGCAAAATAAAGAAGTGGAGAAGATTTTGAAGAAAACTAGTGTGAAACAAGTTCATAAAATAATTTAACCTTTACTAAACAAACCTAACTTAACCTAATATAACATAAAGTAACCTAACTAAATCTAATCTAACCACATCTAACCTAACCTAACTTAACATAAGCTAACTTAACCTAATCTAATCTAACCTAACCTAGACTAACTTAACTTAATCTAATCTAACCTAACCTAACCTAACCTGACCTGACCTAACCTAACCTAACCTAACCTAACCTAACCTAACCTAACCTACTGAAATATAACTTAACCTGACCTCCCTCTCTTTGGTTTCACTATATTTTTAACACTTTATTCATGCACTTTGATATATAACTCTGCCTATATGTCTAACACAGTATTGCCCCAGTATAATACATCTTCTGTCAGGATCCGAACAAATATTTAATAAATTCTTCGTACATGGACACAGGAAACTCAATTATTCTTGTTGCAAATAAATTCTCTGGAAATATTTGGTGATGAAAGTTGAGAATTTGGTTACTGATAAACTATTCTATATTATCCAGCTTTTCTATCTGGATAATTAATCACCCTTCCTAGATGCCTGGATAATTAGTCACTCACCCTGTTTACATGGATAATCAGTCATCCTATTAACCTGCCTGGATAATTACAAACATTACCTAGCAACATGGATAATTACAGGTAACCTATTTACCTACTGTATGTGGGTCATTAGTAGCCATACCAAGCTGGATAATTAGTAACCCTACGTATCTGGATAATTAGTAACCCTACCGACCGGGATAATTAGTAACCCTGCCTACCTACTTGGATTTGTAAACTACACTTATATAAGAAACAGCCATTATGTAAATTATACAATAACAACATTAAGGTATAAACTACACTGATACAGTTAAATTTCATTATGCAAACTAGATTGGAGTAACTTAATTTAACTCTCTAACTTTAAACATAAAATAAAAGTTTTACCACCAACAGTGAAATATATTTACTAGCCAGAATATTCATGATAAATATATTATTACATGTCCTACCGTGTAGTACTTCCAAATGGGTTATTTTATCGGAACACCTGAACATTAACCTTCCAGCTTACTTTACCTGGTCTTATATTAACCAATCTAACGCTAGCCGAACCGAGCCTTACCAAAGCTAATTTAACTTAACCAAATCTAACCTAAATGATTTTAACCTACCCTACCCTAGCCTTACCTACAGTATACTTACCTAACCTAATCTAAATAACCTAAGCTATGCTACCCTAACCAAAATTAACTTAGCCTTACCCTAATCTGACCTAAACGAATTTAACCTATCCTACTGAAGCCTTACCTACAGTATACTAGGGATTTTGCAGAAGTGTGTTGAAGAGATGACAACTAGCAGGCCTACTGATAGGGGAGAGGAGGAACAACGGGAATGTCTCGAGTGCAGAAACAACATAATAGTGTGTGGAGTTCCTGAGAGCCAGTTGGAGGAAGCTGGGTGTAGGAAAACACACGATAAGATAGAGTTTGAGAGTATTTGTACAGAGGCTCTGAAAATGTCAGCCCCCCTTCAAAATGTGAGGAGGCTAGGACAAAAGCAAGAGGGCAAGCCTAGCCCCCTCAGGATCACACTATACAGTGAGTGAGGATAAGAAATAGGAAGTTATTCGGCAGGTAAAAAAACTTAGCAGGGAGCGATGCATTTCAGAATAAATTCACACACCCAGATCACAAGGTAATGCAGAGGGAACAGCACAAAAAAACTCCTACAGTACTTGAAAAAGAAGAGGGAGTATTCAATGAGGAACGGGGACGGAAGTACAGTATCTAAAACAACTATCTGTGCAGGTGGGGGTCGATATGCTCCGAAATTGTACGTGTGACTTGTGACAGCCCTCATATCCTAATATTTATCGTCCATGGTCTCATATTGTTTCCCACAAAGTATGCACAGATAGTTGTTTTAGCTACTTACATCGGTTATATACGAGGGGAAGCTAGTATGAGCAAGAGCGCCAGTACAGAACCAGGTGACAGCGGGCACTCCCAAGGCCAAGGCCACCTAGAAAAGAAGGCTTCGGTATCTCTCACAAATCTGATGACGACGTCACACCAGGAGGCGAGCTTTCAATCGCCACCACCCTGGCCAACAGCGCCAGTTAGCCTAAACATGTTGTGAGAGAGTGAAGAAACTTATCGGTCTGCTTTTATTCTCGTCATTTCTCTTTTTCTGTACTCGATTTCATTAAAGGTAAGACTTGGACATGTTAATCTTCTTGTGTACTGTGGTAAGGGTTAAGATGATCATAGATCTGAATTCATTAATTTAAAGTAGTTAAATGATGAATATAATTCAGAGCATGTTTTTCGTTGTTCTGCCATTGTTAGGTTTCGGTAGCTCACAAACAATGATGTTTTGGATAGATTTATCTATCTATCTATCTATCTATCTATCTATCTATCTATCTATCTATATATATATATATATATATATATATATATATATATATATATATATATATATATATATATATAAAACAAAGAAGTATGTCTGTGTGTTTGTTTGTGTGTGTGTCCGCACGAGAATCTCGGAAACTACTTTACCGATCTGTAATAATGATGGATGGTGTTATAAGTAGTGATGATGGATGGTGTTATATGTAGTGATGATGATGATGTTATATGTATTGATGATGAATGTTGTTATATGTAGTGGTGATGGGTGGTGTTATATGTAGTGGTGATGGGTGGTGTTATATGTAGTGATGATGGATGGTGTTATATGTAGTAATGATAGATGATGTTATATGTAGTGATGATGGATGTTGTTATATGTAGTGATGATGGGTGGTGTTATATGTAGTGATGATGGATGGTGTTATGTGTAGTGATGATGGATGATGCTATATGTAGTGATGATGGATGGTGTTATATTCAGTGAAGATGGATGATGTTATATGTAGTGATGATGGGTGTTTATTATATGTAGTGATAATGGATGGTGTTATATGTAGTGATGATGGATGGTGTTATATGTAGTGATGATATATGTTGTTATATGTAGTGTTGATGGATGGTGCTATATGTAGTGATGATGGATGTTGTTATATGTAGTGATGATGGGTGTTGTTATATGTAGTGATGATATATGTTGTTATATGGAGTGATGATGGATGGTGCTATATGTAGTGATGATGGGTGTTGTTATATGTAGTGATGATGGATGGTGTTATATGTAGTGATGATGGATGATGTTATATGTAGTGTTGATGGATGTTGTTATATGTAGTGATGATGGATGGTGTTATATGTAGTGAAGATGGATGATGTTATATGTAGTCATGATGGGTGGTGTTATATGTAGTGATGATGGGTGTTTATTATATGTAGTGATAATGGATGGTGTTATATGTAGTGATGATGGATGGTGTTATATGTAGTGATGATATATGTTGTTATATGTAGTGATGATGGATGGTGCTATATGTAGTGATGATGGATGTTGTTATATGTAGTGATGATGGGTGTTGTTATATGTAGTGATGATATATGTTGTTATATGGAGTGATGATGGATGGTGCTATATGTAGTGATGATGGGTGTTGTTATATGTAGTGATGATGGATGGTGTTATATGTAGTGATGATGGATGATGTTATATGTAGTGTTGATGGATGTTGTTATATGTAGTGATGATGGATGGTGTTATATGTAGTGAAGATGGATGATGTTATGTGTAGTCATGATGGGTGGTGTTATATGTAGTGATGATCTATATATATATAAAACAAAGAAGTCTGTCTATCTGTTTGTTCACCTTTCTCTGGGATGCCATGAGCCTACGTCAGAAACTATGGACGACCAGATCTCTTCATTACTTTTACATGCAACCCTGTATGGACTGACATAACAGAAGCTCTAATGGAAGGCCAGAAAGGACAAGATCGGCAGTATTTAGTCAGAAAGTGATCAAACTCATGGACTTGCTTACAAAAGCATCAATCGTTGGCCCTACACGGTGCTACAAGTACTTCATTGAGTGGCAGAAACGAGGTGTACCACATGCCCATGTCTTGATCTGGTTGAAAGAGAAACTTCGACCGAACATGATTGACAACTGCATACGAGCAGAGTTTCCTGATCCAGAAGAAGATCCAGTTCTTTATGAGATCATCAAGAAGCAAATGATTTATGGGTCATGTGGACCATTCAACAGACACTCTCCCTACATGAAAGATGGACGTTGCAACAAAAACTTCCCAAATGACCTGACAAAGGATGCTCAGAGTGGAGAAGATGGGTATCCTCAGTACAGGAGAAGAGCGCCAGGCGATAGAGGTTTTACAGAATTGTTACGACCTAGAACAGACAGTGAAATAACAGTAGACAACAAATGGGTGATCCCCTACAATCCTCTTTTGAGTAAGGCATTCAATGCGCATATCAATGTGGAGTTTTGCAATTCAGTCAAGTCCATCAAGTATGTTTGCAAATACGTCAACAAAGGCTCTGACCAAGCGATCTTTGCATTGGAAATGAATGGAAATCATGATGAGGTGACACAGTTTCAGCAGGGCCGTTATATATGCATCACTGAAGCCCTATGGAGAATTTTTAGTTTTCCCATACACGAACGATGTCCAACAGTAGTTCATCAGGCTGTTCACCTGGAAAATGGACAAAGAGTATACTTCACAGAAGAGTCTCTCCAAAATCAAATGGCAAATCCTGCTGATACGACTCTCACTGCATTCTTTAAGCTTTCACAGGAAGATGAGATTGCTCTAATATTTCTGTATGTTGACGTACCCTAGTTCTACATATGGCAGGCTTCAATGAAAAAGTTCCAGAGAAGAGCTCAAGGATCCGATGTTGAAGGATATCCAGGGATAAAGTCAGGCAATGCTTTGGGACGTGTCAACACGGTTCACCCCAACAACTTTGAATGCTATTGTTTGAGACTACTTTTGCACCACATCCGTGGCCCAAAATCATATGCAGTACTCAAGACAGTGAATGGACAAGTCTGAAGAACCTATCAGGAAGCGTGCAATCTCCTTGGCCTACTGGAAGATGATGGTCACTGGAATGACACATTAGAAGAGGCAGCAGCTAATCAATCGCCAATGAGAATGAGGAACCTGTTTGCCATCATGATTGCTACATGTGGACATTCCAACCCAAGCCAGCTCTGGAAAAACCATCAAGAAAGTCTTTCAGAGGAACTGCTTCATCAAGCAAGAGGAGAACATCCTGATCAAGAGATTGAGTTCATGGATGACATGTTCAACAGGGCTCTGATCTTGCTGGAAAACAAAGTGATGAAGCAATGCGGAAAAAACCTGACTGATTTTGGATTGCCTTCTCCAAACCGAGAAGAACCAGTAGCTGCAAACAGGGAGTTGCTCAGAGAGACAGACAACTCAGTTGAAGTTCTGGTGAATTTTGTTGAAGAAAATGAGCCCCACCTGGTGCCTGATCAAGCAAATGCTTATGAACAGAACTTGCAAGCGATACAAGCGGAGCAGGGAGGTATGATCTTTCTTGATGCACCTGGCGGGACAGGAAAAACATACTTGATCAACCTTCTGTTGGCCAAAGTACGTCATCAGGGGAAAATTGCTCTTGCTGTGGCATCCTCAGGCATTGCTGCAACACTACTAGAAGGAGGACGTACTGCACACTCAACTTTCAAACTGTCTCTCAACCTCGTTCACAATGAGAATCCAGTTTGCTACATCAAAAAAGGATCGGTAAAGGCAAAACTCTTAGAAAAATGCAGCCTCATAGTCTGGGATGAATGCACTATGTCACACAAGTTAGCGTTTGAAGCATTGGACAGGACCTTGCAAGACATACGAGAAAATGTCCAGATCATGGGTGGCATTACAATGGTCATTGCTATTTTATAATATTTATATCAAATTCCAAACGTAAATAAATAGTTTCTAAGAAAGTACACGGGTTTAAGTAAGTTCTAGTATTTGTTTTCATTGAGTATGAACACGTGTTGTTTATCCCTGTACATTGTACAGTCAGGAAATCTGTTGCCCTTACATGCGGTCTATTTGATTATGTAAATGACACCAGAGTTTTATTTATGTATTTGATTTGCATTGTCTCAATTGCAAAATCAAATTATAAAAATAATGTTATAAACATTACATTACTAAATAAGTTTGTACATAATAAAAATGATTCAATGTAGCATAAATAACTTGAGTGACTGTACTAGGCATTAACAGTTTGGGTAATTATAATGGCGATACGAATGTGAATATGAATTATTTATGGAATACATTGATGTTTTCTTTATAGCTAATTCAGTGTTGATTGTAAGTATAATCATGAATCAGAAAGTGGACTACTTTGCTATATTTAGTGAATATAATTCCTTCAACAATATACAGTGATATCTCTGTTAGCCGGAATCCCTCAAACCCGGAACTCTCCAATAGCCGTAATTGAAGTTTTCTCGGAAAATAGTTCCCAAAACCGCTGGAAAATTCCAGCTTTGGGAACGATTTTCCGAGGAGCACATTTTCCAGAAAATTCCGAGAAAATTTTCCCAAAACCCGTAAAATTCCAGAAAATTCGAGGGGTGGGCGAGTTTTTCCCGGGTCTTGGAGATGAAAATCAGGCGCATTTTCCGTTAATTCTAAGAACATTTTTCCAGAACTCGGAAAATTCCAGAGATGGGGAATATTTTTCTGGGTTCGAGAGACGATGTAATGAGCAATTTCTGGAACTTCCGAGAACATTTTTCCGTTACCTGTAAAATTTCAGGGATGAGGGATATTTTTCTGGGCCACATGGAGAAAATGGATGAAACAAGGGTGGTGAAAAAGGTGTATGTGAATAAATACGATGACGATGGGTGAAGGAGGCGTAGAAGTCCTAGGAGAAGATGGTAGGGGTTGGAAACATGGAAATGGGGTTTTGATAATGATGATGATGCCATTGTATTCCCTGCCACTCTGTCACAGCATTGTATTTTTATTGTAGGTGCCACGAAATGCTGTGTACATGGCTCTAAATCAAATTTTACTATGGATACGATACGTTGGTGTTCCGCTTTCCAAAGGACGAGGATCGTCGGCAGCAGTGGACGAATGCCATCCTTAAGGAAGACTTCACACCCAATGCATCTTCAGTCGTGGGTGCTAAAAACTTCGACTCATGGTTCATCCTCACAAAAGACAGCATGACTCGTCCTGATGGAACCGTGATAAGAGCAAAAAGAGGACACCAGCGATCACAAAAGGCGCATATCCACCGGTCTTCCTTAAGCAACCCAAGTACTTGTCTATGAAACTGCCCCCAACACGTACAACTCCACAAGAAAGAGATGGCCGTTTACTTGCACGGGGTGAATTAGTGATCAATAACTGGATTGAAAAAGATAAAATAGACAATTTTGCAAAGTTCTGTGAAGGATTCAGCAGTCATCTAATGAATGTGTGGATGTCAATATCAAATGATGATTGTGTGTCTTTTTTAAAGTAAATTGTGATGCCCAACCAAAGGTAATGGCTGCTTTAACAGTTTTACCCTGGCAAGAACGTGCGGCATTAGTTCTGAAAAAAAACTAAACTGGCTCTTGCACCTAAAAACAAATGTGATCTGTGGTCCAAGTTTGATTATTTGTTGAGTCACCTGGGCACTTACCAAGAGTCCAGTATCAGTGATGTGAATAAGCTGCATTAAAGTGATAAAAAAATTAATTGACAATGAATCTGTTACTGACACCACATGTTCAAATGCTAAAGGAATGTGGTTCTGTGTTGAGCAACTTTCTTTGGCTATTCAGAAAAAAGGCAGATACAGTTGTGAGTTCTTTATATGGGCTTGTACTACATATTATTCAAGTCCCTCTTTTTACAGGCCTGTACTTGAAAGTGCAGTAATTATTCTCCCTCATCCTGATTACTTGAGGAAGCTTGATTTATGTAGTGGAAAGACAGGATACTCAGAAACTTCACATGAGCTACTTTTGAGGGAAACATTTTCAACTTTAAAAGGTGAAGAAAAACTAGTTAATGTGCTATTTGGCGAAATTCATGTGAAAAAAAGTTTCTTTCATATAAAGGTGTAAGCTTTATGGTGTGTCAGTAAACTCAGGTGAAGCTGCTACAGCATTACAAGACCTCCAACCAGCGAATCCTCCGCTGGGCTCTCCTCACCCAGCCCTATAATCTACAAGTCCGGCACATAAAGTGGGTGGACAACCTGATTGCGGACTCCTTATCCCGAGCTCCAGTGGAAATGCAGCAGCTACTCTCCAGACGCACCAGGTGATCACGTCCTTCGTGCCCGCGCTACGGAGGTCTTTGGAGGGGGGGTGTGTTACGAACCACGCCATCTACTGTGTCATGATCTACCTACCCAGCACCACGAGCAACGCCATCTAGGGACGCGACCTGAGTATGACTAGTCTTAGTCACCACTCCGGGTTTCCCTTCTCCATATCCTGGTTGTTGCGTCACCTCCTCCAACTCTTCCTCATCAGCTCCGGATCGAGGAGAGTTCAGTTCACTCTGGGAAGTGACCACACTTGGATTACCTATCCTGGAAACCTACGGCACAATGACTACCTACCATCTTCTTCAATACTCAGCCCTACTCATCAGACACTTCAGCACCGCACTTGAGTATTGTAACCCTATATTACCTCCCACCTCCACTTGCTTCAGATTGTTGTATGTTGTATAAATATGTATATACTGTTAAGCCAATGTTGCGTATGTTTAAGTTAAGTATGGTTAAGGGTAAATTATAGAAAGCTGGATATTTTGTTAAGGAATTTATTGTACTTTATTATACACAACAAAAACTCGCATCCTTTGTCTACCCTTTTATAGTCTGATTGTCTTTGTTTGTTTAAGTTTTTTTATTGTTGTTGCCTGTTGGGATCTGGGTAGACTTTTAACTATATTCTAAATCCCCAACTCTTCACAATATCTTCACTTCTGTCAAAAAACAAGCATGTAGCTACATTGTATCCACTATGTAATGTTACAGCAGACACACTTCTTGAGCTGACACATAGAGTTCTCACATTTCATCATAACATTGGATATACAGTAGTTTTCCTTATCTCTGCCAACAACAGGGTTGACAGAAATATGTTTGAAAAGTTATGTGGTGGGCGTCTTACTTCAGTAATTCCAAATCCCTGTGATTCTAGCATGCCCCTATTTTTTATTAGTTTTTATTCAGTCCACCTGTTGAAATGTATCAGAAATAACTGGCTTAACCAAAAAATCTAAATCAAACATTTGTAATACCTTCACCTGTGGAACTCCAAATTACTGAGGAAGCTAGTATGCTGCCACTAAAAGAACTGCAATCAAAAGAGCGTAATTTACATGATAAGTCAGCTTCAGGATTGTCGGAGAAAGTGCTGTTTCCTACCAATTTGGAGAGACTGAATATGCTATATGCTGTTAAATTGTTTGATGATAAGAATGTTGCTGCACTGAAATTGTTGAACAATACTAATGTGTCAGGTGTAATTGACTTCATGCAACAATAGAATATTGCAAATGTCAAAACACTAAAGCAAGGCGTGGTTCTCCATCAAGATGAATGCAACCCAGTAAGGGAAGATTCATCTCTATATCCAAATTTGTTTTTCTCAATAGTTTTGGTCAATGGCTTACAACTTGGGAAGAGTTGGAGTTCCCTCAAAATAGGGGTAAGGTTAGGGAAGGTAAGCTTTCACGAGAAACTTCTTTTGCCTTGAAACACACTACATAATACTATGATCAAGTTATATGACCATCTACTAAATCACCATAATTCCCATTACTTATTACTAGGCAAGATTTTGAATGTTCTGTCCATGGCTTCTTCAAAGTCTGCTCTATTAGCAATCACATAAATTATTTCATCCTTAGATGATCTTGAGCCCCGATAAACTTCCTGTGACTCTTTGGGAGAATTCAAGAATGTTGGGGAATCTGTACAAGAGCAGACTTTGCCAAAGGAAGATATCAGTGTTCTGATGTACAACGCGGGCTACATAGTTGATATTCCTGAAAATTGTAAATACCTCAAAGATCTTGACAGAGGAGGCTTAAAATGGCCTTCAGAATTCACTCTATCTGTAAGTAGGAGCAATTACAAAATATTTCAAGCTTTAGTATGTGATTTTAAGGAAAAAATTTTGCAGTTCAGTAACCAAAGAAATGTTCTCGTAAAGTTGTGCTTAGACTATGAGGAGAATGTATTTGACATGACTGAATCTTGTTCATGTAATACTTCAGTAAAGAGAATCCTTTTGCTGTGTATTTGGTCAATGTCAAATATATTATTGAATAATTTCTCAAAGTCATATAATATTGATATTGCAGTACACAGTCGTTGCAAAAATAGGAAACTTTCTACACAGAAGTAATCCAAAAGGGAGTCTTAACTTTTACAGTAATGTTTTGTCATAGTGATTGGATAGAATAAGTCTATCATTGATTTGATACTTACATGATTTGTAAAGAAAATAAGTTATAATAAGATATTACACGGTAATTTCTACAGAAACTTATACTGTATTTATTATATTGATGGTGCCTGCATTTGCCTCATTATTGAGATAAATATCCTAACCTTAATAGTGCCATAAATATCCTTCAGATTATGGTAGAAGGAAGGTAATGAAGTAATGGTAGAAGGAAGGTAATGAAGTAATGGTAGAAGGAAGGCAATAAAGTAATGGTAGAAGGAAGGTAATGAAGTAATGGTAGAAGGAAGGTAATGAAGTAATGGTAGAAGGAAGCTAATGAAGTATTGGTAAAAGTAATGGTAGAAGGAAGGTAATGAATTATTGGTAAAAATAATGGTAGAAGGAAGTTAATAAAGTAATAGTAGAAGGAAGGTAAAAAAGTAATGGTAGAATGGAGGTTTTGAAATCTTGGAAAAAGTAAAGGTAGCAGGAAGGTAATAAATTAATGGTAGAAGGAAGGTAATGAAGTATTGGTAAAAGTAATGGTAGAAGGAAGGTAATAAAGTAATAGTAGAAGGAAGGTAATAAAGTAATGGTAGCAGGAAGGTAATGAAGTACTGGTAAAAGTAAAGGTAGAACGAAGATAATAAAGTAATGGTAGAATTAAGGTAATGAAGTAATGGTAGAAGGAAGGTAATAAAGTAATGGTAGATGGAAGGTAATGAAGTGTTGGTAAAAGTAATGGTAGAAGGAAGGTAATAAAGTAATGGTAGAAGGAAGATAATAAAGTAATTGTAGCAGGAAGGTAATAAAGTAATGGTAGAAGGAAGGTAATAAAGTAATGGTAGAAAGAACGTAATGAAGTAACGGTAGAAGGAAGGTAATAAAGTAATGGTAGCAGGAAGGTAAGGAAGTAATGGTAGAATGAAGGTAATGAAGTAATGGTAGAAGGAAGGTAATAAAGTAATGGTAGAAGGAAGGTAATAAAGTAATGGTAGAAGGAAGGTAATAAAGTAATTGTAGAAGGAAGGTAATAAAGTAATGGTAGAAAGAAGGTAATGAAGTAATGGTAGAAGGAAGATAATAAAGTAATTGTAGCAGGAAGGTAATAAAGTAATGGTAGAAGGAAGGTAATGAAGTAATTGTAGAAGGAAGGTAATAAATAATGGTAGAAGGAAGGTAAAGAAGTACTGGTAGAAGGAAGGTAATAAAGTAATGGAAGAAGGAAGGTAATAAAGTAATAGTAGAAGGAAGGTAATAAAGTAATGGTGGAAGGAAGGTAATGAAGTAATGGTACAAGGAATGTAATGAAGTAGTGGTAAAAGTAATGGTAGAAGGAAGGTAATGGAGTAATGGTAGAAGGAAGGTAATAAAGTAATGGTAGAAGGAAGGTAATAAAGTAATGGAAGAAGAAAGGTAATGTGTAATGGTAGAAGGAAGGTAATAAAGTAATGGTGGAAGGAAGGTAATAAAGTAATGGTACAAGGAATGTAATGAAGTAGTGGTAAAAGTAATGGTAGAAGGAAGGTAATGGAGTAATGGCAGAAGGAAGGTAATAAAGTAATGGTAGAAGGAAGGCAATAAAGTAGTGGTAAAAGTAATGGTAGAAGGAACGTAATGGAGTATTGGTGAAAGTAATGGTAGAAGGAAGGTAATAAAGTAATAGTAGAAGGAAGGTAATAAAGTAATGGAAGAATGAAGGTAATGAAGTATTGGTAAAAGTAATGGTAGAAGGACGGTAATAAAGTAATGGTAGAAGGAAGGTAATAAAGTAATGGTAGAAGGAAGATTGTATTAGCCTCGGTGACATTAATATTATATAAATGTGGGCTAATGACATATATTCATTATATACATTCTATCATCCAGACTATTGAGCATACAGCTACATAAACATTTGCTCTGTCACACCTCCTAGGGTAGACTGCCCATAAACATTTGTTCTTTCACACCTTCTCCGGTGTACAGCCCATAAAACTATAGACTCAACCATCAGTGTGTGTGAAGTCTGTTTAGTTAATGGTCGTGTTGAAGTGTGGTTACTCTTCGACCACCAGGCACCAGACTCAAGAGAGTTCAGCCCAGTTCTCACCAGTACACAGCCCGGCACGATGCCCTGAAGTCGTGTCGTGAGACCAGCTTTCCGGGCTGTGCCTCTCTCTAAATATATCAGCTAATTACAAGCTAATAGCTAATGCTCATTAGTCTGTCAATACCAAATAATTGTACAGACATTACTACCCAATATAACTGGAAAATCACCACGTGTGTTTACATTAAACCAAGGAACAACGAGTGAAGAGAACATTACCTGTGTGTCTTGTTTAACTTACAAGCTAAGATAATTACAAGTACAACCCAGGACAGACGATTTAAACTATCAACCAATCTACGACTGTATCAAATGTGACACGCCTTGAGATTACTTGATATCTCACTCAGCTGCAACTACGGTACCAGCGACTAACCTACACTCATTCGGGCAAGTGTTAACAAGTGAGATAGTTTGATATCATATCACCGCTAAAACAAGGTAATAAAGTAATGGTAGAAGGAATGTAATGAAGTAGTGGTAAAAGTAATGGTAGAAGGAATGTAATGAAGTAGTGGTAAAAGTAATGGTAGAAGGAAGGTAATAAAGTAATGGTAGAAGGAAGGTAATGAAGTAGTGGTAAAAGAAAGGTAATAAAGTAATGGTAAAAGGAAGGTAATGAAGTAATGGTAGAAGGAAGGTAATGAAGTAATGGTAGAAGGAAGGTAATGAAATAGTGGTAAAAGTAATGGTAGAAGGAATGTAATGAAGTACTTTTAAAAGTAATGGTAGAAGGAAGGTAATAAAGTAGTGGTAGAAGGAACGTAATGAAGTATTGGTGACAGTAATGGTAGAAGGAAGGTAATGAAGTGTTGGTAAAAGTAATAGTAGAAGGAAGGTAATAAAGTAATGGTAGAAGTAAGATAATAAAGTGATGGTAGAAGGAAGGAAATAAAGTAATGGTAGAAGGAAGGTAATGAAATAGTGGTAAAAGTAATGGTAGAAGGAATGCAATGAAGTAGTGGTAAAAGTAATGGTAGAAGGAAGGTAATAAAGTAATGGTAGAAGGAACGTAATGAAGTGTTGGTGAAAGTAATGGTAGAAGGAATGTAATGAAGTAGTGGTAAAAGTAATGGTAGAAGGAAGGTAATAAAGTAATTGTAGAAGGAAGGTAATGAAATAATGGTAGAAGGAAGGTAATGAAGTAATGGTAGAAGGAAGGAAATAAAGTGTTGATAAAAGTAATAGTAGAAGGAAAGTAATAAAGTAATGGTAGAAGGAAGATAATAAAGTGATGGTAGAAGGAAGGAAATAAAGTAATGGTAGAAGGAAGGTAATGAAGTAATGGTAGAAGGAAGGTAATGAAATAGTGGTAAAAGTAATGGTAGAAGGAATGCAATGAAGTAGTGGTAAAAGTAATGGTAGAAGGAAGGTAATAAAGTAATGGTAGAAGGAACGTAATGAAGTGTTGGTGAAAGTAATGGTAGAAGGAATGTAATGAAGTAGTGGTAAAAGTAATGGTAGAAGGAAGGTAATAAAGTAATTGTAGAAGGAAGGTAATGAAGTAATGGTAGAAGGAAGGTAATACAGTAATGGTAGAAGGAAGGTAATAAAGTGATGGTAAGAGGAGGGTAATGAAGTAATGGTAGAAGAAAGGTAATGAAATAGTGGTAAAAGTAATGGAAGAAGGAATGTAATGAAGTAGTGGTAAAAGTAATGGTAGAAGGAAGGTAATAAAGTAATGGTAGAAGGAACGTAATGAAGTGTTGGTGAAAGTAATGGTAGAAGGAAGGTAATGAAGTGTTGGTAAAAGTAATGGTAGAAGGAAGGTAATAATGTAATGGTAGAAGGAAGGTAAGAAGGTAATGGTAGAAGGAAGGTAATAAAGTAATTGTAGAAAGAAGGTAATATAGCAATGGTAGAAGGAAGGTAATGAAGTAATGGTAGAAGGAAGGTAATGAAGTGTTGATAAAAGTAATAGTAGAAGGAATGTAATAAAGTAATGGTATAAGGAAGGTAATGAAGTAATGGTAGAAGGAAGGTAATGAAGTAATGGTAGAAAGAAGGTAATGAAGTGTTGATAAAAGTAATAGTAGAAGGAATGTAATAAAGTAATGGTATAAGGAAGGTAATGAAGTAATGGTAGAAGGAAGGTAATAAAGTATTGGTAGCAGGAAAGTAATGAAGTAATGGTAGAAGGAAGGTAATAAAGTAATGGTAGAAGGAAGGCAATAAAGTAATGGTAGCAGGAAGATAATGAAGTAATGGTAGAAGGAAGGTAATTAAGTAATGGTAGAAGGAAGGTAATAAAGTAAAGGTAGAAGGAAGGTAATAAAGTAATGGTAGAAGGAAGGTAATAAAGTAATGGTAGAAGGACGGTAAAAAAGTAATGGTAGAAGGAAGGTAATAAAGTAATGGTAGCAGGAAGGTAATGAAGTAATGGTAGAAGGAAGGTAATAAAGTAATGGTAGAAAGAAGGTAATGAAGTAATGGTAGAAAGAAGGTAATGAAATAATGGTAGAAGGAAGGTCATGAAGTGTTGATAAAAGTAATAGTAGAAGGAATGTAATAAAGTAATGGTAGAAAGAAGGTAATAAAGTAATGGAAGAAGGAAGGTAATAAAGGAATAGTAGAA